ATGCACTCGGGGCCCCCATAATTTTCTATTTACAGGATACATGGAGACTATATTAATTGGATAAAGCAGAGGAGGAGACAGGGCTGGGTGGGTCATCAATGTCGCTTTCTTTAGACAGGTTTACGTACTGTGGAAACTTGCCGGTTGAAGGTATTGGATCATCTTGAGGGAGTGAAGAGGCAGCACTGGTGGGGCGTGAGGAGACAGCACTGGGGGACTTCTTAAAATAGATGTCCAATTTAGACTGCACAGTTTGTTTTTTCTTTTCATTATAAATTTCTCTGTAGCAAGCAAGTGCATCTTGGATCATTCTGTCAACTTTGGCATAACGCTCATAATTTTGATCCATGCCATCAAACATTTGCATTCCTTTATTAATTGTAGCAAATGCCTCTGCCATTTGTTTCACTAAAATTTTTTGGGGGGTGCAGGCTCTTCTTCTACATTTTGTCTCTCTTCTTCCTCTACAATTTTCTGTGCATATAGTTCAATAAGATCCTCATTACTGAGCTCTTCTGCTACACTTTCAACCAACTGTTCAACATCTTCATTATCAATTTCTAACTCCAGCTGTTTACCTGACTCCACTATCTTGTTACTAATATCCAAAATAACTTCATTTTCATTCAATCCTTTGAAACTGTTCACATATCTTTTCAGGATTTTCTTCCATATTCCATTCATGCAATGTTTTGTAACCTGATCCCATGCTGCACTAATGTTCTTTATACATGACAAAATGTTGTACTCCTTCCAAAACTGTCTGAGCGTTTTCTCACCTTCAGTAGCAGCAACAGCCTGAGCGAAGGTCGTGCGTAAATAATACGCTTTAAAGGCAGCAATAGCACCTTGATCCATGGGTTGGATGATAGAGGTAGTGTTAGGTGGAATGTACACTACCTTAACATCAGGGTGCATGTCGTCCAGGTGTGGTGGGTGTCCCGGAGCATTATCCAAAATCAGCAAAATCTTGAATGGAATCCGTTGTTGCAGACAATACTTCTTGGCTCGTGGAATGAAACAAGTCATGAACCAATCCTCAAACAGTACTAGGGTCATCCAGGCTTTCTTATTACTGCGATAAAACGCTGGCAGTGTGTGCTTGCTGACATGTTTAAAAGCCCTGGGGTTCTCTGAATGATAGATCATGAAGGGCTTTAGCTTGAAACCAGCAACATTCCCCCCAAACAGAAGTGTAATTCTGTCCTTGAATGCCTTGAATCCTGGCATTGTTTTCGCCTCTTTGTGGATGTATGTCTGCTCAGGCATGCGTTTCCACAATAATCCAGTCTCATCCACGTTGAATATTTGCTCAGGCAAATAATTCCCTTCCACAATCACTTCATCTAACTCCTCCTTAAAAGCTTCGGCAGCACCAACATCGGCACTAGCTGCCTCTCCACTCACCTTAACATTGTGTAGACTGTAGCGTTTTTAAATCTATCAAACCACCCATGACTTCCTGTAAAGGTTTGATCACATTCATCTCCTGCCTGCTCCTTCAGGCTTTGGAACAGGCTTCTTGCTTTAGCCTGTATGGTTAGAAGGCTTAAGGGTACACGCTTCTGTATCTGGTCTTCTATCCATATCACCAATAATTTTTCCATATCGTGAATAGGACCTTGTCTTCTCTTTGATATTATAGTTCCCTTTATAGGTGTTGTTCCTTTCACTACTTCACGAATACGTTCCTTGTCCTTCAGAATAGTGGATATAGTCGAGTGTGAGAAACCTAGGTCGCGTCAAATTGTTGCTACTGTTTTTCTATTCTCATGCTGTGTTAATATCTTCATTTTCATCTCAGAAGTAATTACCTGTCTCCTTTTCTTTGGAACACCACCAGCACACTCACTTTACGCTTTCCAGTCATTATAAAGTCAATTAAATACGATAATAACGAAAGTTCACAGCGCGATCAGTATAGGATACGATAGCCAAACACAAACTAAGCGCTCCATTGAGTGAGTGTACCCACGAGGCGACCCGAGATGACCCGAGACGCGCCACCCTCTCGCCCAGGACGGAAACGTTTCGGTATAGAAAATGCGCTCGTCATTTGAAAATATTTTTGGTCACGACTGCCGCGGTCGTATGTCCCGACGGACGTATGGTCAGACGAATTAAATGTGATGGGCGTAAGTCCAGTCGTCCTAAGAGGGACTACCTGTATATATATATATATATATATATATATATATATATATATATATATATATATATATATATATATATATATATATATATATATATATATATATATATATAAAATCACACAGGAAGGAAACAAGGGGCACCTTAGGCGAAGCTAAGGTGCTCGTTGTTCTGTGTCGATTTTCTATCTTTCATTGTGGATCTACAGGAATATATATACAGTCACCCCTCACTTCTGGCGGTTAATTCAACCCACGGCGCCAGCGTAAAGTGAACAACATAACATATGGGATTAATTGAAATAGAGGCCGGACCCCCCAAACTTTCCGACCTAGCGTTTTACTAAAAATAACATCTTAACTTTATGATGGTATTCACCCACACATATGGAAAGGAACAGTCAATAAACTGAAGGATTTTAGAAAAAACAAGGTTGGGGTTAACTACGTTAGTAGAAGAGATGGGTCTCGCGTCTGCGGG